GGACACGAAAAAAGACAAAAAGGAAAAAAAAAAAAAAAAAAGAAAGGTCTATGGCATTCCTGAGAACATCAGGGTGCAAAGCAAACAATTTCAGCCCAGGGCACCTACTGTTTGAGGCATTCTGGTGTAACTTAATGTTGGCGGCACTCTGGGCAGGGTGCCTGAACATTCATTTATTCAGCAGGTGTTTATTGAGTGTCCACTACTTGCCAGATACCGTTTGAAATGCTTGGGATTCCTGTGGTGCTTATGTTCGACTGCGTGTGGGGGTGGGAAGACAGTCCAACAGTTATAAACATGTGATCATGTGTATCGCATGTGCTAATTATGTATTTATGTAGTAAATACATAATTTAGATAAGTAGTGTGTTGTGGGACGGTGAGAGCTCGACCAGGGTGTGGGGTAATGGAGTCCACTCACTGAGAATGAGACTAAAGCAAACGCGGGAAAGAAGGCAGAGACGTACCAATGCTGGCCAGGATGTGCACACACGGGAGCGCTTACCCATTGCGGGTGGCGATGCAAATTAGTTCAGCCATTATGCAAAACTGTATGGAGGTTCCTCAGAAGGCTAAAGCTAGAACTAGTGATCCAGCACCCCCTAACTGGGTGTGCTTCCAAAGGAAATGAAATCAGTGTGTTGAAGAGACGTCCACACCCGCATGTTTGTTGCAGCACTACTCACAACAGCCGAGATGTGGGATCAACCTCAGTGTCCATCCGTGGAGGAGTGGGTGGCGACATGGGGTATGTATGCGCAAGGTCACGTACACCCACGTGGATGGACGTGGAGGACAGGAAGTGAAGAATGCCAGGGACAGAAAGGGAAACACCTCGTGTTCTCACTCATGTGTGGAAGCTAAAAAGGAGCTCGTGGAAGAGTTGAATAGGGGTTACTAGAGGCTGGGAAGGGGGTGATGGGGGAGAGTGGTTAACAGACACAGAACCACAGCCAGGTAGGAAGACTGAGGTCCAGTGTTCTGCTGCTCTGCACGGCGCCGAAAATGAACAACTTACTGTATGTTTTCAAATAGCTAGAAGAGGATTGTGAATGTTCCCAACACAGAGAAATGATAAACGTTAGAGGTGACGGGTATGCTGATGACCCTGATTTGATCATTACGCATTGAACACACGTATCAAAATATGACACTGCACCCCATAAATATGTACAATGATTATGTATCAATTAAAAAATAACAGTAAAAAAAGAGAGGAGAGAGGGAGTAGGCCTTGCAGAAACCTCTGGTAAGAGCGTGCTGGGCAGAGGGACAGCCGTGTGAGGGCCACAGTGTGTCTGTGTGCTCCAGGCCAGGCAGGAGGCAGGCGTGGTTAGAGGGGTGGCCCGGGAGGGAGCCACAGATAACAGGGGCGTTTCGAGGACTTAGGCTTTTTTTCTGATTTGGATGGGGAGCCATTGGAAGATTATAAACACTAAAGTGACATGATCTGACCACATTTTAAAGAACTTTGACTTTTGTGTTAAGAAAAGGATATAGGACCACTATGGAAAATAGTATGCAGGTTCCTAAAAAAGTTTAAAATAGGATCATGACATGGTCCAGCAACCCCATTTCTGGGTATATACTCCAAAAATCGAAAGCATGGACCCAAAGGGCTATTTGTACACCCATGTTCATAGCAGCACTATTTGCAATAGACAAAAGGTGATAACAACCCATGTCCATTGATGGATAAATGGTGAACAAAACGTGGTCTACACACACCGTGGAATCTCATTCAGCCTTGAGAAGGAAGGAAACACTGACACGTTACAACATGCATGAGCCTTGAGGTCATGATGCTGAGTGAAATAAGCCAGTCACAAAGGGTGAACACCGTGTGATTCCACCTGTGGAGGTCCCTAGAGGAGTCAAACGTTTAGAGACAGAAAGTGGAATGGTGGGTGCCAGGGGCCGGGGAGTTACTGTTTAGGGGTGCAGAGTTTCAGATTTGCAAGATGACCGAGTTCTGTGGATGCATGCTGGTGATGGTTGCGCATCACCGAGCAGGTACTTAATGCCACTGAATTGTGCACTTAAAAATGGTTAAGATGGTAAATATCATGTTATGTGTCTTTTACCCCAATTGAAAAGAAACTAAAAAAGAAGAAAAGAATTTGGTATAGGAAGCCAGAAGGGGAAGGAGGAAGGCTCGTTGAGACACTTGTCAATGCGCCGCAGTCCTGGGACGCACGGAGGTGTGGGGTTTCCTAGCACATCTTGGGGGCGATCTGCAGTGCCTCATCGCCCTCCTGCCCCTGCACTGGCAGTGCCTCAGGACGCAGAAGCCGCAGGTGATCGGTGCCTTGCGGTTGAGAGCGCACGGAAAAGAGACGGGGAGACGCCCAGGACTGCAGCTGCGCTCTTACCAGCCAGAAACCAACGCACGGAACATGGGAGTCTGTTAATTAAAAGAGTCTGACTTTGAATTCAGAATCCTACGGGCACTGTGATGATGATGTGCCGTGATGCTGTGCACACGATGGGGGTTCAGTTACCCGCCACTTGTCCTGTTCATTGGCCTCTGGGTGGGGGGATACTCTGTGGGTTATTTGGAATTCCGTCTGCTATGTGGAAATTACATTTATTTAATATTTCTGTGAACTTCAGACTGCATGACACTGTCTGCAGCATCTCATCGTTCTCTCAATCCTGTAGACCTAAGAAGCCATGATTTTAAAATCTTTCTTGATACTATAAATTCTCATGTTTGGGGATAGACCATTCAAGAATGGCGCGCTTTTCTCGTTTCGGTCCCTGCTTAGCTCACATCGCAGGTGCATGTGTCACTGCTCTGGGGACCAGCTCTCCCATCTGAGATGGACCAAGTCACATATATAGTTGCTGGATTCTTCCAAGTCAAATTCTTGGCTCCCCCTTCCCATCATTATTTAATGCTTGGAGGGAGTGTTTTTTCTTATGCCAACTCATCAGAAATATAGAGCTGGCATGATTTTTCCAGTTCAGCAAACCTCCAAAAACCTGCCTGCCTCAGAAGGGGGCTTGGCTGCTCCAGCTATGCATATGGCCAACCCTCATTTAAATGAATCATTATCAGCAGAGCAGTGTGCCATGAGCAGGGTTAATTTGCAAAATCTGGTCTCCCCATTCTATACAGAAAGAAATCGAAGCCCTCCAAGCAAAGATGTCTGTGCTGGAAGCAAAAGTTCAACAGCTGAGAAGGGAGATAGACAGGCAGGGCGAGAGACCGGAGTGGCAGGGCTGTGACCTGGTCCCACTGATGGGCCAGCTGCAGGAGGTCAGCATGGCCGAGCAGGACACCCTGGCCACAGCCTGTCTGATTCCCTCCTGTATGGAGCCACCTGAAAGTGTAAGGAGGTACTGGTGGCCTAACTGATTCTGGATCATTCACCTCTTAGACCTGTTCACAGTGACGATTCTGTCTGCTCTCTCTCATCTATAAATATTTTCCAAGCAGTCTGTATTTTTNCTGAAAGTGTAAGGAGGTACTGGTGGCCTAACTGATTCTGGATCATTCACCTCTTAGACCTGTTCACAGTGACGATTCTGTCTGCTCTCTCTCATCTATAAATATTTTCCAAGCAGTCTGTATTTTTCGATGGAAGCACTATTAGTGTACATGGCGTGGGCCAGTCCTGAGTGCTGCAAGTCACTTCCCATGTTGGCCGCCCACCCTGCCGAGTGCCAGCACTCTTCCTCCAAAGGCCGCCAGACGGCCCACATGCATCTTAGAGTATTTGGGGAACGACTGTTCTCTTTTATGCACATAACACCTCCTATCCTGCCCGTTCAAGCAAGCCACACACGCTGTTCTATGGGGACACGTAGGCTCTCCCATGTCCCTCCGGCCCTAAAGTTTCCCTGCAGAGATCTGACCCCACGGCTCATGCCCAGGGAGAGGGGGAAGAGAGGTGGATCGTTGTCACGGTTCAGCCACATGACAGTGATGCTCCAGCACGCCTTGGGTTCTCCCGCCTGCTCCTTTGCTACCAGCCTTAAGCTGCTCCCTGGGCGAGATGAGCGGCTGTTCCTGGTGTTCTCACTTTACAGTCGAGGAAACCAGAACTCAGAAAGTTTCCCTGGTGATGCTTAGAAAGAGACCTTCTAATATATACCTACAGCTGCCTTTGGGTTTGAGCCAGCGAAGATAGTTTTCTTCCAGACAGCCAAGGAGGTGATTTCCTTTCCTGATTCTCTTTCCAGCCTGAAACAAGGAACTCCATAGCATGGTAGCTGCCAGAGCTGGGCCCAGAACCCAGATCTTACCATTTCTAGTCTTTTATTCTACCCGTGTTCTCTAGCTTGCCTTTTAATAGGGATAAGACACAGAGAGGGAGCACGTGTATGACTTTTGCCCGGCAATCCAGTGCTCTAGCCACTATCCAACTGGACAGGCTCTGGAAAGACTCTTCAAAGTTTGTGGCCATCTGCTTTATGATGCTATTAGGAAAATCGGATATGGGGGCGGTCCTGAACATGATGCAAGGTTGTCTGGGGGATCCTCTGGGGAGAACCCGTCTTTCCAATCCCAATGTCCCCACTGAGGTCACAGAGGCTGTCACTCTTTTGTGCTGAAACGACTGTAGGAAAACTCAAATATTTCAATGACGTTCAGAAACTACAAGGCCTTTGTGTAGGAAATCTTAGGAATATAAGGTTGAAGAATTGCATGGGGAGGGTAGGAGGGAACTTACCAGAGTGGTTTAAAGACACACAGCAACGTGCACGCTCAGGTTGCTAGTTACTAACATGAGCTTTCTCCTGCAGTGACGGTGTCACATAGGTGTCTTCAGCACAGGCTGCTCATGGTGGGCCGGGGCATTGGCACTGGTGGAGCTTTGTGCTGCCGGAGAGTGACCACCCTGAGACATCCTCATAATCTGGGCGATCCTTGAGGGGTGACCCTTGGCATCAGCCTTACGTACTTTGAGGTGCAGGGAGGCACCTCCCTGTCTGAGCTTGGGGTGCAGGTGCACGTTTTGACTGGTCGGCTTCCTTTCTCCCAGCCTAGGGAGGTTAGGCACCAGATGGTTCCCTGCCACGAATGCCAACCGGAAACCCCCATCATCCATGTGTGGGCTTTCCATTTGAGAAGGAAGACACGCCTTTTCCAAGCTGACAGGCTGCAGCATGGATTCATAGACATGGAGCATTTGAAAGACGCCAACGTACAGTCTCATGGCGCGACAGATCGGAGACAGCTTGACCCAGTTTTTTACCTAATTGTCCATGATACCATTAACTGGATTCTTGCTATGAAGTCTTTCAGAAAGTGCTGACTCAGAGGGCATGTTCTGTAGGTGCCCCAGCCAGATGAGTCCATCTTATATATTATCAGCGGCTGCCTTTGCTGTTTATGAGAATGGTCTCTTCTTAGGCCAGATGGAGAGAGATCCAGACAAATTGTGAAATAGGAAAATCTCGAAGTCTTACGAAGTGAGGTTGCAGAAAATAGTATTGTCACAAAAACCTGGAGAAACAGATCACTCAACCTCATAACAGTTATAATCACCCTTCATCAGGATTTTCAGAGAGGCCAGCGACAAACTCCGGGTCCTCTCTGGAGAGAAGCTGCTTCTCGACCACATGCAGGTGCCGAGGGAAGGATGTGCTGTTCTCCCCAAATAAACCTTTCATGAGCTTGAAAAGAAACTTCCCGGGTGCACTTGGCATTTCTGAGCGTGTCACTGTTGGAGACACAGGTGCTTGCGTGGAGGCCGTCGTTCCTGACTGGTGTCTTGTTGGGCACAGCCGGCTGATGTTAGTGAAGGGCTGGCAGGAGAAAGAAGCCCAGTGGCTTTTTGCTGCAGTGTTATCATAGAAATCAAAGCAGCAGTTTGAATGTTCTGGTGTCTGCATTTTGGATGGGACAACTCAGCAGGCAGACGGGAAGCCTTGCCTTCTCAGAGATGTCACCGCTGCCTTTTTTTTTTTTTCCTTTTTGTCTTTTTTTGTGTCCGGCAACAGATCACAACCCTCAGTGTCGCGCCCGTACCGGACCGGGACTGGCAACGGGATCGCAACCCTCGGTGTCGCTCCCGCTCCTCTCTCAGCCAGTGAGCGGGACCCGGTCTGTATGTGGGGTCCGAACCCCCGGTGGGAGCACCGCCACGCTCCCAAGCAGCGCACTGTAGCAGTGCGCCACCGGGCCGGCCCCACCGCTGCCTTTTGAGCAGACCCGGCAGAAGCAGGTTTTTTCCAGGGAACAAACGCAGAACATTTTTAAAGCACCAGAGAATCAGGAACTCAGAGTGTGGGGGCCAAAAGAGCAGGGTGTGCGAGAAGACGGGGCCACTTAAAAGATGTGTTTGTCTCGATGTCCCGCATCCCTGGGGTTCCAACCCTTGGCTTTGAAACAAACTCCACATCTTCTCCTGCAAGTGTCCCTGGCTGAGGGATCTGGGGCGCTTTGACCCTATGGGTTTGAGTGTCCTGCGGCTCCACACCACCTTCCGTGTAGGGGAGAGAGGAGACAGGGTAAAGGCAGGAGGTGACAGTTGCCGTGGGCCACGTCCCTGTGTGTTGGCTTGCAGTCCTGTGTCTGTTTGGAGTAAGTGGAAGATCACAGTGTCCCCCCATCTCTCCAGCGCCTCAGCCTCCCCTGGCTTTCCGCTGGCTTTGTGAGCGGGCACAGTGTGGCACGCATGTGGCAGCTGAGGGAGGCAGGGCCACTGAGGGCGGTCACAGCCAGGGCAGGGGTGTGTTCCATGCTTCCTAACACTAGCAACGCCCGTCCGGCTTGCGTCCGTCTCCGGCTGAGATCCTCTTTCCTCAGCTCCTGGGAGTTTGCATGCTTCGTGTTAAATGTGTTCTGGCACCTGAGGCCACCAGAGGTGTGAAAGAGGGAGGGGAGGGGGGCTAGCGAGAAAAGGGCCACAAAAATGGTCACATTGTGTAAAGCTGAATACACTGATTATTCTGATATGAGCATCACATACTGCACACGGGTATTGATATTCAACACGGTACCCCACAGGTATGTCCAATCAATGATGTTTCAATAAAAATAAATAAATAAATAAATAAATAAATAAATAAAATGCGTTGCCCCCCCCAAAAAAAGAAAAAAAAAGTGACAGCTAATGGATGAATGTCTCTGGTTGTGCATTTGGATGAAATGTGTCACATCTGTTTACAGGCCACTGGCACAGCTGTGAGACCTGTGCAAGCCCTGGTTACCCGTGGCTAGCTGTGCCCTGGGTGGGGTCCCTGGAGTGGCATGTCTGGGCTGGGCTGGGCAGGGTGGTGGGGGCAGGTGGGAACCAGGCCTGCTGCCCACCCCTCTCCCTCTTCCCGCACAGCTGGACTGCCCAGGGCTCCCCAGTGAGGGGGACCAGCTAGACTGGGTGCTGCAGGTGCCCCCAACACGCATGAGCTCAGTTCCGTGACTTGCACTCGACGGCGTCAGGGCCCCTTGCAAGTCAGGGCTGAAATAATGAAACCCAGCAGCTCTCCAGGGACTGGACAGAAATCAGCAGTTCCACTCTCCTTCAGACACTGTCCTCACAGCATGAGCCGCATGGCCTGAACGGAAACCAGTCTCCGGATCTGAGTCTGGAGGAGCAGGTGGAGATGCCGGGGAGGGTCGCACTGATGCAGCTGGGCTCGCCACACCGGAGTGATGCAGGGACCCCTGGAGAAAGCGCCCGCAGGGCCTGGGGTCTGCAAGCTGGGGTCTGCAAGTGGCCTCTCTGTCCGCGGCAAATGCTGTTCAGTCCCCACTGCCGGGCTCTGTCATTCCCCGCTCTACGTTCGTTCACCTGGTTGGTTTGTCAAAAACTGGTTTTATGCGACTCAGAGCGTTAGAGGTCCTTGCTAAAACTGCTGTTTGTGGAAATTCAGACTTTTCTTTTTTCGAAAGCAGACACCTTGCTTTTCCCAGGAATTCACAGGTAGATGAATACGTGCCCAGGAGTGAGTGCGGGGAGCCAGGAGCCTCTGAGCCACGACACAGGGGGCCCCTGCGGCAAGGCTGGCTGTGTGGGCAGGGTCCTCAGCATGTGGCCCTCTGCAGGTTCTGTCGTTCTCGGCCGGAATGGTAATGATAATCATACATTACTTTTAATACCTGTATTGTTTGCACAATGCTCAGTTTTGCTTCCAATAACCCTAGAAGGTATATTGGGCGATGTATTGGTTTTATGCCCATTTTGTAGAAGAGGCAGCCGAGGGTCCAAGTTCCCACAGCAGTGAGTGTCCTGACATCTTGGGCCAGTTTTTGATACTGGGGAGTGAGACACTAACACAGATGGCGGGGGGACCGGGGCTTAGTCAGACAGTGGAAAGAGGTCCAGCCCGGCAGAGCACTGCCGTGGGTGCAGGTGCAGAAGAGGATGTCATTCTGGGCCA